ACGATCCCAAAAACTCCATCCCCAAACTTTTAGAAATCATAAGCCACTTCGGCAAAATAGCAGGATACAAAATAAACCCACAAAAATCAGTTGCCTTCCTATACACTGATAACGCACAGGAAGAGAGGGAAATAAAGGGAGCAACCCCATTCACAATAACCTCCCAAAAAATAAAATATTTAGGAATTAACCTAACCAAAGATGTAAAAGAACTATTTAATGAGAACTATAAAAAGTTAAAGAAAGAAATTGCAGAAGACACTAGGAAATGGAAAGACCTCCCATGCTCCTGGATAGGCCGACTTAATATAGTAAAGATGGTGATACTTCCAAAACTAATATACAAATTCAATGCAATTCCTATTAAAATCCCAATGACGTACATCACTGAAATACAGAAAACAGTCCAAAAATTTATATGGAACAACAAAAGACCTAGAATAGCCAAAACAATTCTAGGGGATAAAGACAATATGGGAGGGCTATCCATGCCGAACTTCAAACTCTACTACAGAGCTATAATCACAAAGACAGCATGGTACTGGCACAGAAACAGACCCGAAGACCAATGGAACAGAATAGAAGATCCAGATATAAATCCACAGGCCTACAGCCAGCTGATATTCGACAAAGGAGCCAAAGACATACAATGGAAGAAACACAGCCTCTTCAACCGCTGGTGCTGGGAAAACTGGGCAGCCACATGCAGAAAACTAAAAGTGGACCCCAGCCTATCACCATGCACCAACATCAACTCAAAATGGATTAAAGACCTTAACATTAAACCTGAATCTCTGAAACTACTGCAGGACAGAGTAGGAGAGACACTTGAACTAATAGGCACAGGAAGGAACTTCCTGAACAGAGTCCCAGGGTCACAACAAGTTGGAGAGAGACTCGACAAATGGGACTACCTTAAAATAAAAAGCTTCTGCACAGCTAAATCTATCGCAACTAAGCTAGAAAGACAACCAACTAATTGGGAAAAAATATTTACCAGCAATATATCAGACAAGGGGTTAACATCCTGTATATACAGGGAACTCAAGAAACTAATCCCTCCCAAACCTAACAAACCAATTACTAAATGGGCAAGGGAACTAAAGAGGGACTTCTCAAATGAAGAAATAAAAATGGCAAAGAAACACATGAGGAAATGTTCATCATCCCTGGTGGTGAAGGAAATGCAAATAAAGACAACCCTGAGATACCACCTTACCCCAGTCAGAATGTCCCACATCCACAAATCAGCCAACGACAAATGCTGGAGGGGATGTGGAGAAAGAGGAACCCTATTACACTGCTGGTGGGAATGTACACTTATACAACCACTTTGGAAAGCAGTCTGGAGGGTCCTTAGAAAGCTAAAGATTGACCTCCCTTACGACCCAGTCATACCACTTCTAGGCATCTACCCTGAACAACAGGAACCAATATACAAGGACACGTGCACCTCCATGTTTATTGCAGCACTGTTCGCAATAGCTAGGATATGGAAACAACCTAGGTGCCCCACCACAGATGAATGGATCCAAAAATTGTGGTATCTATACACAATGGAATATTATGCAGCCATTAGAAATGACAAAATAATGGCATTTGCAGGGAAATGGATGGAGCTAGAAGGAATCATGTTGAGCGAGGTAAGCCAAGAACGAAGAGACAAACGGTACATGGTCTCCCTGATAAGTGGATGCTAAATCCAAAAGGTTAGGTGATACGACAAAACTAACAGGACTTAAGAAACAAAGAACTCCCGCTCATCTGGTTGAACCACTACTAAATATCCTCATGCTGCTGATCACAAATATGGTATATAACATGTGAACACTGTTATATATTACAGACTGTGGTAGACAATTTGCTCCAGGGAAGTTAGAATGAACTTGTGACTTTGAAATTATGTAATCATTTAATCACAATCAAAAAAAAAAAAAAAGAACCTCGGGGAAGGGAGGGAGGGAGGGGATGGTATGGGGAAAACAATGGAGGGGGTAACAATGTTCAAGAGGAAGTGTACTCATAACCTCACTCATGTAACTGTAACCCTCTGTATAGTAGCTTTACAATAAAAAAAAATTAAAAAAAAAAAAAATTTGCCAAGCTTTGCCAGTGATTCAAAAAAAAAAAAAAAAAAGTATAATGAACACACTCCAGCACAGGTATTGAAAAGACTTCTGCCCAACTGCTCAGAGAGCTGCTCTGTCATCTGTCATGGTCAGGTGTTGCATGCCTTCACAGTGCTGACTTGCAGAGAGTTCTAAAGGTTAGTTTCAGTTTTAGATTCCTTCTGTTTGATCATCATTTATATTTATATTAAGAAATGTTAACACTTGTACATAATTTTAATTAATAAGACTCTGAAACAAATATTTCTGCACTTTTGTGTGTGTGTGTGTCGGTTGTGGGGCTTGAACTCTGGGCCTGGGCGCTGTCCCTCAGCTTTTCAGCTCAAGGCAAGTGCTCTACTGCTTGAGCCACAGCGCCACTTCTGGTTTTCTAGTGGTTAATTGGAGATAAGAGTCTCACGGACTTTTCTGCCTGGGCTGGCTTTGAACCGTGATCCTCAGATCTTAGCCTCCTGAGTAGCTAGGATTACAGGTGTGAGCCACTGGCGCCCAGCTCATATTTCTGTACTTTTAAAGCCTTAATATCACTATGATAGTCCTGAGAATAAAAGACAAATTCAGGATACGGGGGAATGCAGAGCTTAAAGTTTTAGGGATCAAACCCAGGGCCTTATGCATGATAAGTGTTTGACCACTTTAGACTTCAGTTTTGTCGTGTGTGTGTGTGTGTGTGTGTGTGTGTGCGCGCGCTTCAGTTTTGTCGTGTGTGTGTGTGTGTGTGTGTGTGTGTGTGTGCTTCAGTTTTGTCGTGTGTGTGTGTGTGTGTGTGTGTGTGTGTGTGTGTGTGTGTGTGTGTGTGTGTGTATCTTTGGGTTTGCACTCCTGGGTGCTGTCCCTGAGCACATGTTTTTGCTCCACTTGAGCCATAGCTCCACTTCCGGCTTTTTGGTGGCCAGTGGGATGGACTTTGTTGCCCTGGCTGGCTTCAAGCCAGGATCTTAAGATCTCAGCCTTCTGAGAAGCTAGGATTATAGGCATGAACCACCAGTCTCAGGTTTTTGAGACAGGGTCTCACTATGTAGCTTAGGCTAGCTTTGAAAGTGGCCTTCCTGTCTTTGTCTCTCAAGGGCTAAGGATATAGCTATGCCACTACACCAAGCCTTATATCTATTTTAATTAATTTTATTCTTGGTGGTACTAGACGTCTGAACTCAGATTGGAGTAATACTGCTGAGCTGTGTCACAGCCCCACTTTTCACTGGTTATGTTTAGGACAGGGTCTCACTTCCTACCAGAGAACCTGCCTGAGGCAAAATCTGTTTATTATATGCTTCCTGTCACTGCTGGGATCACAGGTGCACATCACTGCACCAACTTCCCCGATGCGAAGATGAAGTCTCATGAACTTCTCTGCCTAGCTCAGCCTGGCATCTTAATCCTCTTAATCTCAGCCTTCCAAACAGCATGGAATTTCAGGTACATAGCACTGTGCCTAGCTACAGTTTGAGTGTCTCACTGGCCTTTTTTCTCCCAGGCTGCCTTGTGTTACAGTCTTTCTGTCCCCAGCCCGCAGGTGGCTAGGGTTCTAGGGATGAGCCACCAGCGCTCGCTCTGCTCCATTTATTCATTTAGTCTGAGGCAGGGGCTTACTGTGCAGCCCAGGCTGGCCCCAGACTTGTGATTTTCCTACCTCAATCTCCTGAGTAGTTGGGACTGTAGACTGACACTACTTTGACAGGTTCTCTTGAATGTGTATCACTATTTATAACACTTATCTCTGTGGTTTTAATTTTTAAAATGTTAAACTAAAATATAGAAATAATGTATAAGCTAGCAACAGTAACCTACCTAAATTAAAACTTTCTTTTAACAGACTTTCTTATTGTTGGTTTAATGTAAGTTAAAAGTTGATGATCTTTATCAGTTTTACACATTGGAATTAGCATCAGGTATGTAGTCTCTTACTGACCACAAGGATGTTGTGTGGTATAGGGCTATGTTAAAATTTGATTTTAAAAATTACTTTTAAAGGTAATTTAAAGATTTTATACATGTATTTAAATTGTAAAATCAGGGTGTGTGTGTTTGTGTGTGTGTGTTACAGGGACTCACTTTAACTATGCTCCCAGCTCTTCTTTTTTTTTTTTTGTTGGTCGTGGGGCTTGAACTCTGGGCCTAGGCACTGTCCCTGTGCTTTTCAGCTAAAGCGAGCGCTCTACCGCTTGAGCCACAGCGCCACTTCCGGTTTTCTAGTGGTTTATTGGAGATAAGAGTCTCACGGATTTTACTGCCTGGGCTGGCTTTGAACCGTGATCCTCAGATCTCAGTCTCTTGAATAGCTAGGATTACAGGTGTGAGCCACCGGCGCCCGGCTTCTTCTCTTTTTTAAGATGAGGTCTCACCAAATTTGCCCAGGCTGTCTTTGAACTTATGATCCTCTGGCCTCTACCTCTGGAGTAGCTGGTTATTAACAGTGTGTGCCACCATTTCAGCTTGAAATCTACTTTTGATAGGACCAGGAAAAGCTTACTATAAAACATCTAGGTGAGGGGCTGGGAAGGTGGCTCAGTGGTAGAGTGCTTGCCTTGCATGCATGAGGCCCTGGGTTCGATTCCTCAGCACCACATAAGCAGAAAAAGCCGGAAGTGGGGCTGAGGCTCAAGTGGTAGCCTTGAGCTGAAGAGCTGAGGGAGTGCCCAGGTCTAGTTCAGGCCCCACGATTGACAAAAAAAAAAAACAACTAGGTGAATCTAGACTGGAGATTACTATTTGAAAACCTGAGAACTTTGCTTAAGTTTGCCTTCCACAGAGTATATCATATATTTATTAAATATCCAAGAGACCCATGTCAATCTTCTGAAGGCTGGAACTTCGGAATAAACTACACAGTCTACAGCAGTGAGAGAGAACTACCTTTTGTGAAAACCTTACCTCTGTGAAGTTTTATTGGACAAGAAAAGTCAGACTCATAGGGCTCATCCTCCCCAGATGCCAGCTTCAAGGCAAGCTCCAGCTCAACACATTCGAAGACATACAGAGATGGAATGAGGTCGGCTCTGTAATCCCAGGACTTTTCTGACTGTAAAAACAAAAACAAAAACAAAAAAGGAAAAAAACTGCCTATATTTATCTTGTATGTTCATTTGAAATGTATAGATGAAAATAGAAACAAATCACTGGTCAAATAGTGCGTTAAATTCTTAATTTCACCCTGTATCTTAATAGTGAACTAATCCCTTCCCTTCTAATAAAAGTGTCACTATATAGCCTAGAACTCAAAATTATGCTGCCTCAATCTCCTGAGTGCTAGGATTATAGGAGCACCGCCACACCCAGATTGTTAGTTTTTACTTTTTATGCTGATCCTATGGCTTGAACTCAGGGCCAGGGCACTGCCCCTGAGCTTTTCTGCTCAAAGCTAGAGCTTTACCACTTGAGCCATAGCTCTACTTCTAGCTTTAGTTTTAATTAATTGGAGATAAGAATGTCATGGACTTTTCTGCCCAGGCTGGCTTAATACCTCAATCCTCAAATCTCTGCCTCTCGAGTAGTTAGGATTATAGACCTGAGCCACCAATGCAAGGCTCCCTCTTTATTATTCTTTTTTTTTTTTTTGGTCGGTCCCGTGGGGCTTGAACTCTGGGCCTGGGCGCTGACCCTCAGCTCTTCAGCTCAAGGCGAGCGCTCTACCACTTGAGCTACAGCGCCACTTCCGGTTTCCTGGTGGTTTATTGGAGATAGGAGTCTCACGGTTTCTCCTGCCCGGGCTGGCTTTGAACCGCGATCCTCAGATCTCAGCCTCCTGAGTAGCTAGGATTACAGGCGTGAGCCACCAGCGCCCGGCTCCTCTTTATTATTCTTAAAAGAAGAAAATAAGTTAAAAACTCTTCCATTAGGATTATGTTAATAAATGTGTGTGTGTGTGTGTATATATACCAATTATGTTAATAAATGTGTGTGTGTGTGTGTGTATGTGTATACCAATACTAGCTTGACCTCGGGCCAGGGTATTGACCCTGAGCTTTTTCACTCAAGTCTGGTGATCTATCACTTGAGCCACACCTCCACTTCTCAGTTTTTGGTGGTTAACTGGAGATAAGAGTCTAACAGATTTTCCTGCTCAGGATGGCTTCAAACTGCAAACCTCAGGAGCTGGGAAGGTGGCTCCGAGGTAGAGTGCTTGCCTTGCATAAATGAGGTCCTGGGTTCGATTCCTCAGCACCACATAAGCAGAAAAAGCCAGACGTGGCGCTGTGGCTCAAGTGGTAGAGTGCTAGCCTTGGGCTGAAGAGCTGAGGGACAGCACCCAGGCCCAGAGTTCAGGCCCCACAACGGACCATTAAAAAAAATAACACCAAACTGCAATCCTCAAATCTCAGCCTCTTGAGTAGCTAGGATTAGAGGCATAAAGCCACCGGTGGTTGGCTTCCAATTACTTTTAAGTGTTTAATTTATAAATTATTACAAGTGCACCTTCTATGGTGCTCTAAAAACTACACTTGGTATAGAGACATGAAACACCAACACTAGCCTGGAACTTACTGTTTGGTCGTCTTCTTCCTCCCCCTCTAGCACCACACAGTGATACAGCATTCCTGATTCAGTTGCAATCACTAATATGTTGGGGACACAAGGTAAGCAGAGTATAGCACAAGCATCATAACCGTAGTTATCTTCAGCTGCAGGATGCATTGGCAATGGACCCAATAACTTTCCAATATTTCCAGGGCTAAGGAAAGAAATCACAGGGGAAACAAAGGAGGAGGCTACAATGCTTGATAAGAAATGTACTCGTTATCTTGCCCATGTAATTGTAACCCCTCTGTACAGTATTTTCACAATAATAAAAAAAAAAAAAAAGGAAAGAAATCACACTTGGAAAGTGTTGATAGAAGATTACCATGACCTCTAACCATTCTTTGACTTGGTCTTCTTCCAGCTAACAGGCTGCCATTAGAAATATAGTATATTCCCAATGTCTATATTTAGTTGCTTTCCCACTCACATCCCAAAACTAGTAGTTTTCAACCAGAGATAAATTTGCGCTTGAGGAGACTCTAGGACATTCATGCTTGTCACTACTAGAGAAGAGGTAGTGACCAGCATCTATTAAGTACACGCCAGAGATGCTGCTAAACATTCCTCTATGAGAAAGGACAATCAAACCACATGTCAGTAGTGTAGTGCAGAGGATGAAAGCCTCAGCTAAATTTTCTGTACTTGTTGTGTTTTATTTTATATTTTTTGGTGCCAGTTCTGAAGCTTGAACTCAGGGCCTGGGTTCTGTCTCTGAGCTTTTTGCTCAAGGCTAGTGCTCTACCACTTGAGCTGCAGCTTCACTTTTGGCTTTTTAGTTGTTAACTTGACCTTCTGAGTAGTGAGGATTACAGCTGTAAGCTATTGGTGCATAGCAGTGATTTGAAAGAAAAAAAGACGATCTTATTATGGAGCCTCTAGCGTGTGATCGTCTTATCTCATCTCCAAAGTGCTGAGATTAGAGGTGACCATTTCCTACCCAGCCTGCTCTGCCCTTTTACTATGGTACTGAAGCTCAAGTGGTGGAGCGCCAGCCATGAGCAAAAAAAAAGCCATGTGAGAGTATGAGGCCCTGAGTTCAAGCTCCAGTACCAGTACCAAAAAAGACAAAAGATATAGGTGAGTCGTAGAGCCCTTGCTTGGTATGCTGAAGGTCCTGGGCTCAATCTCCACAAGAAAATAACAATCGGCAGAACGTGCTTACGGCTAAAGGCTGAATGACAGGAATTATTCACTTAAAAATCATCACAACAAATAGTTATTTAGAGCCTACGTTTCTGCTATACGTAGTTCTTCATCTGTAAGAAAGACATACAACTAAAGGAATAACTATACAGCACAATAAGAGGGGCTCAGAGTGTCACAGGAAATGATAGATTAAATGCTGAAAAATGGTAATACAGGATGTCTGTTATCTTTGAAAACAAAACAATATAAAATTTGGTCTCATGCTGGGCACCGGTGGCTCATGCCCCATGACCGACCAAAAAAAAAATTTGGTCTTGGGGGGGTGGACGGTGGGAACGGGCTGGGAAGGTGGCTCAGTGGTAGAATGATTGCCTTGCATGGATGAGGCCCTGGGTTTAATTCCTTAGCACCACATAAACAGAAAAAGCTGGAAGTGGTGCTGTGGTTCAAGCACTGTGGTAGAGTACTAGCCTTGAGCTGAGTTGTTCAGGAACAGTGCCCAGGCCCAGAGTTCAGGCCCGATGATGGACCAAAAAAAAAAAAAATTAGTCTTGGGCTAGGAATGTGGCTTAGTGGTAAAGTGCTTGTTTAGCATGCATGAAGCCCTGGGTTCAATTCCTCAGTACCACACACACAGAAAAAGCTTGAAGCTGGAAGTGGTGCAGTGGCTCAAGTGGTACAGTGCTAGTCTGGAGCAAAAGAAGCCCCAGGCCCTGAGTTCAAGCCCCTGGTCTGGCCAAAATAAATAAATAACTGGTCTTATCTTTTTTTTTTTTTTTTTTTTTTTTGGGGTCCGGTCATGGGGCCTGAACTCTGGGCCTGGGTGCTGTCCCTCAGCTCTTCAGCTCAAGGCTAGGGCTCTACCACTTGAGCCACAGCGCCACTTCCAGCTTTTTTTTTTTCTTTTTGCTTATGTGGTGCTGAGGAATCGAACCCAGGGCCTCAGGCATGCAAGGCAAGCGCTCTACCACTGAGCCATCTTCCCAGCCCATAACTGGTCTTATCTTAAAACAACAGAACTCACCCAAATAATGTAAAGAAATGAAACTTCAAATCATCAATGCTAATGGTTTTTCTAAGCGGTGAAAAGCAAGCCTCTAAGGATACTTGCAGAAACCCAGAAATGTGGATCCCAAGTCTCGCCCTGACCATATACATGGAACACAGTTGAGTTTTCATTTAGGAGGATTACTACCTCCACTTACCTGTGTAACAGACTAACATGTGTGAGGAACGTCTCCCCGTTCTCGTATAAGATGTACAGAGGATATGCTACTACTTCGTCTTTGCCTTTCTGTCCAAATATATGCTTTGGGACAGCTGCCAATGGTCCAAAGTCAAATGCAACTGCTGTTTCTCCGAGAGACGCAGTGTATGTCCTCCTGGAGAGACAGCATAAAAGTAATTTGCTGAAAACAAATCAATTTTTTTTTCAAGTTATCAGGAGGCAGATTATTTATAGAGTCTGTATTTTAGTTGAAAAACAGTAACTTTTGATTCTGAAGAATGCTAGCTTTGGAAAATTCTCATAAATTTAAGTGAAAAAAGCCAGCCATAAAATTATGTGGTGCTTTTAAATAAACACAAATATGTGCTATACAAATAACAAGAAAATTTAAAAAGAAACATTAAGAAAATACATAACAACAATAACTATCTCCAAGCAGGATTTGTTCACTCCATAAACCAGACTCCACTGTTGTAGGTTTTAGAAAATGAAACAAAGGCCCAGCTTTGGGAAAAAGAGATGTTCAATGAACATAGAAGAAATAAACATACAACACAAATTTAGACAATTTTTTTTTGTTTTTGGTTGGTTGTGGGCTTGAATTCTGGGCCTGGGCACTGTCCCTCAGCTCTTCAGCTCAAGGCTAGTGCTCTACCACTTGAGCCACAGCGCCACTTCTGGCTTTCTGGTGGTTTATTGTAGATAAGAGTCTCAAGGGAAGTGGTGCTGTGGCTCTAGTGGTAAAGTGCTAGCCTTGAGCTGAAGAGCTGAGGGACAGCACCCAGGCCCAGAGTTCAAGCCCCATGACCAACAAAAAAAATAAAACAAAAAATTAAAAAAAAATCAGAAAGTCAATAGGTGATAGAACAGAACAGATTATTAGCCAGGCGCTGGTGGCTCACGCCTGTAATCCTAGCTACTCAGGAGGCTGAGATCTGAGAATCACAGTTCAAAGCCAGCCCGGGCAGGTGAGACTCTTATCTCCAATAAACCACCAGAAAACTAAAAGTGGCACTGTGGCTCAAGTGGTAGAGCGCTTGCCTTGAGCTGAAGAGCTGATGGACAGAGCTCAGGCCCAGAGTTCAAGCCCCATGATCAACAACAACAACAACAACGAAGAGTCTTAAGGAAGTTCCTGCGATCCTCAGATCTCAGTCTACTGAGTAGCTGGGATTACAGGCATGAGCCACTGGCGCCCAGCCTTTTTTTGTTTTTAAGTGTTCTTAAACTCAGGACCTTGTGCTTGTTAGGCGGGCACTATACTGCTGAGCCGTACCTCCAGTCTTTTTCACAATGATTATTTTTAATATAGGGCCTCACTTCCTGTCTGAACACCCATCCTTCTGTTATTTAACTTTTCACCATAGCTGGGATGACTGGGATATGTTACTATGTCTAGCTTCATCTGTTGAGATGAAGCCACAAGGCATTTTCTTTCTGAGCTGGCCTAGAACCTGATCCTCTCAATTTTAGCCAAGGATGACAGACTTGTCTACTATGTCCAACTACTGGAATTATGCATATATGGTGGGCTGGACTAAAATGGCATTCTTCCTGATTTCATCTTCCCAAAGTTAGGGTTATAGAATGAACCCCCAGCACCCAGTTTTGTTTTTGTTCCTGACATACAAGATGGCCTTAAACTAATGATTTTTTTCTGTCTCAGAATCCTGAGTACTGGGCTTACAGGCATGTACCATAGTGAAAATAATGTGATAAAGAAATGGGGCTGGGCGCCAGTGGCTCACATGTGCAATCCTACCTACTCAGGAGGCTGAGATCAGGATCACGGCTCAATACCAGCCTGGGCAGGAAAGTTTGTGAGACCCTTCTCTCCACCAGAAAAACTAGAAGTGACGCTGTGGCTCAAAATGGTAGAATGCTAGTGTTGAGTGAAAGAGCTCATAGACAGCACCCAAACCCTGAGTTCGAGCCCCACAACCAACCAAAGAAAAAAAGAAAGAAAGAAATTGGGGCAGCCAGTCACTGGTGGCTAATCCGAACTATTCAGGTTAAGATCTGAGGTTTGGGGCTGGGAAGGTGGCTCAGTGGTAGAGCGCTTGCCTTGCATGCATGAGGCCCTGGGTTCGATTCCTCAGCACCACATAAGCAAAAAGAAAAAAGCCAGAAGTGGTGCTGTGGCTCAAGTGGTAGAGCACTAGCCTTGAGCTGAAGAGCTGAGGGACAGCGCCCAGGCCCAGAGGGCCCACACCCCCGGGGGGGGGGGGGGGGGGGGAGATCTAAGGTTTGGAGCCAGCTCAGACAGACAATTGTCTCCAACTAACCAGCAAAGAGCTGAAAGTATAGGAGTGGCTCAAGTGGAGGGATCTCAGCTAGGAGCAAAAAATCTCAAGAGTTCAAGCCCAGTATAAGCACAAAAATGAAAAAGAAAAGAAAAAGAAGTTTAAGAAGTAGGGAAGGAGAATTTTAAGAGGTAGAGTGCAAGGCTTTGATTTCAGTTGCCTTAGGGTTTTTTTTTTTGTTTGTTTTTATAGCTTTTTTTTTTCCCCAGAGCTGAGGACCGAACTCAGGGCCTTGAGCTCGCCAGGCAGGCGTTCTTCCGCTGAGCTAAACCCCCAACCCCAAGGCTTTGAGTTCAAACTGTAGCACACCCAACAAGTAAAATACTGAAAAGAGCAGTAAAAGGTGGCTGCAAGTGCTATTTCAGGATGAGTACATGAAAAAGGTTCATATAAAGTGATATGTGAGAAGGCTCTGAAGGAAGGAGGAGAACTAGTCTACAGTATCTGAGGAAGAGACAGCTGAGGTGGAGAAGATACATGGCTAGGCTCTGAGCTAGAAGGAACTGATGTCTGAGAAATGGAGAGGAGGCCAAGGTGGCTGAAACCCAGAAAGCCAACACAATGGGAGAAATGAAGCGGCAGAGGGAGTCAGGGAGAACCTGTGGGACCCAAGGCAGCCATGGACTTTCCTGACGGGGTTGGCATTGAACCGTGATTCTCAGATCTCAGGCTCCTGAGTAGCTGGGATTACAGGCGTGAGCCACCGGCCACAATGCTTTTTGTCTTTTGCAATTCAGTATAAGCTGGTCAATGTGGTTGGCACTTGGGACTGGCTGACGTTAGTTGAGGGACTGAGGAGTCACTGCCACCTCAGTAACACTCATTTCGAGTGGCCCTCTGGAGACAAGGCCTTAATCCAAAGACATGACTTGAGCAGAGAGAATTTCAGGTGTGTACCACCACAACCTGCACAAATTCTTCTGGAAGGAAAAACTGGCCATACACAATGAACTCATCAATCATGTCCTCATGACTGGCTGTCTAAGGGCTCTGGAATGGTAGAGGGTGGCCCCAGAACCTGGATTCTAAACATCATTTGGATGTGGCTGGTTAGCTGATTGCTTGGCTAATAGTTACTTTCAACCATCTGTAGGTTATTGTTCTGTGCTGGTGTGATTTCACATACTCCTGGCCAGCAGCAGCACAGGAATCTCAGACATTCTCATTCCTCCCATGATTGTATTTCTGAACCCTCTGAGATCACCAGCCAAAGTGTGTGGAACATGTGCTGCGCTATACACGGCCTAAGTGTGCAGCATGGCTGATACTCATGCAAAGGAGCTCTGGACCCATGATGTCCCTGACCCCTCCAGTACCAGAGCCACTGGAAGAGCAGGGTATATCAAAGGCCATCATGAACTCAGTGGCTCCCTGATCAGAATACAAGTCTCAGCTAATATGGTCAGAACAACAGAGCTAATTCTGCATGAAGTGTAAATCTGAAGACAATGGACATGGGCATATAGCTGCGTTTCTTGGTGTCACTTCCTGAAGGCCAGTAGGAAGCCTGGTGAAAAGTCTGGTGACCACGGTTTTGTGAGGGAGGCCAGGAAAGTTGACTTGCAAAGAGTGTACCCATTCAATCAAGAGCAGGTTCCGTCCTGCCCCCAACCATTCTGGACAGGGTTGTATGGAGGAGGGGCTTCAGGAGCAGCTCTCATCATAACTCCTCCCATTCTGCCTGGATCACAAAATTCTGGCCACATCCCCTATTTTTTTATGTTTCTCTCTGACCAATGGGATTCAAAAACTGGGCCATGCCCGTATTTCATGTTGCCTAGTAGCACTGGTATTCCTTCTGTTGGCTCACACCACTACCAGTAATTGAGGGAGGTAGAGGTGCTCAGTGGTGAGAGAATCAAGGTGACTTGGAGATATAGTTGGAGGTAGACATAGTTATTGGTAAATAGAAGTAGTTTCAAAGAACCTGGGAATGTGGCCCTCCCACCTTCGCCCTCTCAGTGCTGGGATGTCTAAGCAAACAAGACAAAAAAAAAAAAAAAAAAATTAGCTGCAGGAAGGAAAATACTTCAAGAAGACCAGCACAGGAATAGTCCTGGTAGCCCTGCAGAATCCAAGAACAAGAAGAAAAAAGGAGATAACCCCAAGACAAACACCACTGGGGACTGTAATTCAGTTGAGGGTTCAGCCAAGGACCACACTGACCCTGAGCCTTCCCCACCTTTGGGAACAGTCAGAGCTGCCAGGGTCAAAAGCGTCACAGGTCTCAATAATACCGAAGACATGGAAAGGCACTACCAACACCTGGTGCTTGCCCTGGACTCCAGCAGAATACAAAACCAGCAGCTCTGCAGTGAGATCCAACAACTGAAGCAGGAAAACAATGAACTGCAGGATCAACAGGGGAAAGAGAATGAGAAGATGGCCTGTGTGCACAAAGCACTGAAAGCAAAGCTGGAGCAGAACAAGCTATCAATACAGATGCTGATTTCAGAAAAATCAGACTTACAATCTGTCCTGGCCCACATGCAGCAGTTGGCTGACGAAAGAGCACTGGAGCAGAAGGGTCTTACCAGCCGCCTGCAGGCTGCACAATAGCGCACTGAAGAGCTAGAGACGCCATTGTCTGAAGTCTCCACCACACAGAATGAGACCGAGAACAGCAATCTAGAGCTGATTAAAGCTCTGAATCACGTGAAGCTGCAGCTCCAGGAAAAGGCCAGAAGCTATGAAAACCTAGAGGATGAGGACACCGAGCTGCAGGAGAGGCTGGAAGTGCTCCTGACAACAGAAGGCTGACATGAAGATAAAAATCATGAGTCTCTTGGGGCTGGGAAGGTGGCTCAGTGGTAGAGTGCTTGCCTTGCATGCATGAGGCCCTGGGTTTGAT